TAGCTATTTATCAACGTACAGTCCAAACAAGAATCATTAGTATTAATCTAATCATTTGTCGTTTAATAAATGGCGTCAAGTGGGTTGACTCTATACTTCCTACGCAATTTTGTCATCATTTTGATTCACTGATCAACAGCCAAAAAATATCCTAAATAAAATCAACAAAATATTACTATTTTTAATGTGCTAAAACCGGAATGAAACTTATTTTTTCAATATTAGTTCAAGTTTTAGAGATACGGTAATTATATGTGTTCCTGCTGTGACAGTGTAATTCACAAGAATGCACGTGCTACATTTTTATGTTCGGCCAGGAAAGATGATGTAATCGGCATGATTGTGTTACGTTATACATACGTGTACATTATATTGTTTTATATTAGCCATTTTTTCCTCAGTTGGCTGACAGCGTTCATGCAAGATGTTTCGAAAGTGTGTAAACAATCCAGATCAGTTTTGTTACGTGTGTGGTGATGTGACTTTTGCGTCTCAGAGACGGTCTATTACTCCACTAATAACAAAGGCATATCAGCTTTATTTCGGTTGTAAACTAGGTGATCAAGACAAACAGTGGGCACCCCACATCTGCTGTAATACATGTGCTTCAAGTCTGAGGAGCTGGTTAAATGGCAATAAACGGTCTATGCGCTTTGCTGTCCCAATGGTTTGGAGAGAGCCTACAAATCATATTAATGATTGTTACTTTTGCATGGTACCTTGTGTTGGACAAGCCACAGGTATGTCCAAGAAAAAAAAATCGGTTATTAACTAACCAAACATACCATCTGCGATGAGACCTGTGCCTCACAGTGACGAAAATCCTATTCCAAAACCCCCAGAATCCTACACTTGCGAATCAGAAAACGAATCAGATCATGGCGATCGAGTGATTCGTCAGGAAGAAGATATGCCATCAACGTCAAGAGATCCTGATTTTATACCGAGCACGTCATGCCACCAACCGCACAAAATAACACAGTCAGAATTAAATGATCTTGTAAGAGATTTAGAACTTCCAAAATGTAAGGCAGAGTTACTTGGATCAAGACTGCAGTAGTGGAACTTGTTAGAAGACGATGTTTCGGTATGTGTTTTTCGTAAACGCCACAAAGACTTAGAACCATTTTTCAATATGGAGAATAACTTGGTTTTCTGCAGTAACATTAACGGCTTACTGGCGGCTTTAAATATAAACTATAACCCAGAAGAATGGAGATTCTTTATAGACAGTTCAACATTGAGTTTAAAGGCAGTGTTATTGCATATTGGAAATATTTTACCATCTCTTCCTGTAGGGTATGCAGTTCACATGAAAGAATCGATGAGCACCAATGGCATATTTGTGGCGATTTGAAAGTTGTTGCACTTTTACTTGGGCTGCAGCTAGGCTACACAAAGTTTTGCAGTTTTTTGTGTCAATGGGACAGTAGGGCAAAGGCACTTCATTACACCAGACAAAACTGGCCTGTTCGTCAATTCCTAGAGCCAGGTCAAAAAAATGTACAGCATATGCCATTAGTAGATTCGAAAAAAAATTTATTACCACCACTGCATATCAAGTTGGGCCTAATGAAAGACTTTGTCAAGGCATTAGATAGAGATGGGTCAGCTTTTCAATACCTGCGTCAGAAATTTCCAAGACTAAGTGAGGCAAAGGTTAAAGAAGGTATTTTTGTTGGGCCACAGATTCGAAATATTTTGAAAGATACACAGTTTTAAAACACTTTAACAGGTATTGAAAAAACTGCTTGGAATGATTTCCGTCTGGTGGTCACTAATTTCTTGGGAAATAGAAAAGCTGACAACTATAAAACCCTTGTCAAAAATATGCTGTCATCGTATCAAAAGATGGGCTGTAATATGTGTCTTAAGATACATTTCCTACACTCACACCTGGACTTTTTTCCTGACAATTGCGGAGCCGTAAGTGAAAGTGGAATCCTTCCATGCTTGCAGACTACTATTGGACTCTTGGTAGAGATGCTCCAGAAACGATCCATAATAGAACAGCAAAAAGACAGCGCATATAGTGATTCTTATAAGTATATGAATTTTGTTACTTTTTTTAATATATCCTTAAAAATAAAAAGTTTTTTTTCTAAACCGCAACTAATTTTTTTATTTCATTGTCATTTTTGGATTTAGCGCCCCAAAATTAACAAAGAAATGCACTTTTCCCACAAGATACAATTAAAAAACTAAAATTTGTTGTCCAGTGTTATGTACGCTTTATTTCCAGACTTAACGCCATGTGAACTGTGATTGAGCAGAAATCGATCAGAGTAATTTTGCATAAAGTCGACCTAGTTTACCCAATGTTTATTCAAAAGACCGATACATTGAAGTTGCTTATGATAAATATATAAAAAAGCAGAAGCACTGGGTCAAATATTTATAAGGCCGTTACTGAAATTTCCGCCAACCCGTGATAAAATATGAGCCCCACCCCTATGGCTTGCCTGTTTCTGTGGGTGTCTTGGCTGCCAAGGCCAGCCAATTTACTGATGCCTTCAGGTGGTAGGGTGGTCGCAGCAGGGAGAGCCGGCAGCGAAACTCTAGACGTGTAGTCGTCAATTGGCGTGGTTGAAACTTAATAGCGTTTTGATTTGATTGGTTATATTCATATATTACCGACATTAGAAAACATGCAACATTAACAATCACTACCATCTACAACCCCCAACCCGCAATTTTCAACCCCTACAAAAATGTTCATGACTATGATCGGGAGCTTCTGCAACATCAAGAAACGAAGTGGGTGATTTTTTTTAGTAATAAAAAAATATTCAAACAGAGACAGTCATGGAGTCCTATCAGCATGAAAACCACAAGATAAGTTTCACTTCTTACGATTTTTGTTGTTTCTGTTTATGCTTGCAGTTCTGAAAGCACTGAATCGATTTTCAAAAACTACACAGCTTTTTCGTTCTTGGAAAAGTGGCAGGCTTTCATCAACATTTTATCAAAATTCGACTGGGCTTTCCAAGCTATTGCTGGGCCAAGGATTAGCAGACAGACTGACATGCCGATAGACAGACCGACGGAAATGAGTGATATGGCTTGTCGTTATATGCATGTCATGTAACATTTAAAAAACATCACAAGTTTTTCGCAATTATAATACTACCTCGGCAGTGGAAAGCAAAACAGAGTTGAGTGGAAAGTGTTGGGATAGTGTTGAAGTTGATGTCCACGCAGATTTCGAGGTCATCTTTTCGAATATTCACTTTTCTACCTCGTATCTTTTTGTAGTATTGCTGTCCGACTATTTCTACGGTAGAACTATGTGCTGGACTGAACTAGAGGTCATTTCTCACGATCCATGTTTTAACAATTTTTAGAACAAGTATTGATAGTCTCAGTGTTCTAGCATGGATATATAGAAAATTGTCGATTGACTCAATAGTTTGGTTGTCTAATCTGGACTATTTTGGAGAATCTTTCAAATTACCGCCCGTCAAAAATAGCATTTCACATGACAATAAAACGACCGTGCCGCCATTTTGTCTTAGTTGGCATTTGTGGTGTGCGGGCTACTAATACGTTAATCAATGGTTACGATTAGGTGCACTCAGCTGCTAAGAATTAGCACTGGGTGCAGTCTGGATCAGCTTATTTGTTGAATATCGCTTGTCATGGACTGACAACTGGCACAGCTCAGCCTAACTTGCTTCACATTCGTAACCTCTGGGCTCCAATTCTAGAGCACAGTAGAATAGAACGCTCACTGGAGAATGATCCCAAATGTTGACATCGGTTGCCATACGTTTGTGAATATTTTCGGCAAAATAATATGTTCCTAGGTTCTTCATGTCATTAAACGAGTCACCACAAAGTTAAACTTAATCTTTAGAGATGAGACCGATGATGAGACTTCTGCACTTTGTTTCCCGGAAATGACTCGGGGAGCGACTATTCTATCAGTGTTTAGGAATACAGCTTCCCAAAAGGCAAGAGCACCACACCCACCTTATCTAAGTGATTCTATTCCAGTTTTCAAAACAGGCGTCCTGAAGATATTAAAAATTTATACAGCACTATTTGGATTCCAGCTAGCAATACTTCCCGTAACGCTTACGCTTTAATATAAACGGTTGCTGTCGATTGACTTGCAATTTTTTACATAGCAAATATCGCCGCAGTCGTGAGGCACTCTATACAGCAGTGTTAGCCTGACTTGCTTCTAAGAGCATCTATAATTCAGCTTCTATTCTGAACTACGCCATTATCCGCAAACGTAAACGTACTAATTTAATTAGGCTCCTAAATAATAACGACCGGCCGTTGGTGTCATCATGGTTACCCCTTAAAAGCAGTTTAATGCTGCATGAGGCACATGTCCACCATAATTAATATTGCTTCACCAACTGACGTGATGGATATTAGAATACAATCACTTTAAAAAAAGAGAAGCAAAATCGGTTGATAAAATTGAAGAAAGGGGAAGGGAGTGGCTTCTGCATGCTCTGAGAGCAAATGTCTTTGAGACAATTGAAGAGCGCTGTCTGAGATAGGTACCCCAAAGGCGCTCGCCTACACGATTCAAATCTAACAAAAAAATGGCAGGCTTGGGCGTAAAAGGAGGAGGTCTCGCCCTACTCTAAATTCATCCTTTCCTGTTGCTCTAAATAATTTCGCCGAGGATCATCCGAACCATTTCTTCGGGAGGCGAATCCTTTGAACTTTTCTTCTACCTTGAATTTTCCCCTACTAGTTGAAGCGGGGATATTTGAGGCTCCTAGCCACATATCACATATATTGAAATTGGTATCTTTTAGAGTCTTTTGTTTATTCGTCTTAAAACTTCTATATTGGTGACATTATCTGTCCAAGACATACATACTTTGTATTCTTCAATATACCCATACTTCAAATTCTAATACATTTTGCATAACTCTTCCTTTAATGTACCTATAAGTCATACAAAAGAGTGGAGATAACATACCAGTTCACAGCTACAGAAAATTGAGAAAATAAGATATTTTCATTTGTTACAGATCAAGATGGAGCTGAGCCGTGCGGCAACTCAGTAGCTGTCCACAACCTGATCAGATTGTCTGCCTATTTGGACAGGCAGGATCTGCGCGATAAGGCTACCAACACGCTTTCTGCTTTCGCTGAAAGGCTTAATTCCATACCTATTGCTTTGCCGGAAATGGTGTCTGCTCTGATGTTTTACCATAACTCCCCAACACAGGTAAGTTTTTTTGGTGATATCAAGTTTAGTCACTCAAGTTGCACACTTTTCACAGTCTGGCTTAGTTTGCGATAATTGTCAGCCAATACAATACAAGAGCATTTCTAGATTAGATTTCGTCTATAGTCAGTGCGTTTTTGAACTGTCAACGGGCAACGGTAATGATAAACTTTTCATATCAGCAGTCTCAAAGACACGAACTGCATTCTAGATTGCCAAGCTTCGTAATGAAGACGGTACTTACAGAAGAAAAAGAAGAATGAGCACGTTTTTAAAACTACAGTACGTAGAGTTACTTTTGATATAATACAAATAGCCGCTACCATAAAGCGTTGTCATTTGTGAATGTCCTCATTTAAGGTACGCGTCCACAGATACGCATCGCATCGGATTGTTTGGATTAAATGGATCAACTTGTAGTGCGTCCACTGAATCCATTCTAATCGAATTGCCATTTGATGTATAGGCTAGCGCTAGGTATTCCGGCAGCATCTCTTCATCTGGCCACACCGCCTGAAGAACGCATCATTCTCGCGCCGACCATCAACGCAGTTAGCCGCAACGATCAAGTCACATTCCTTCAGACATAATACTCAGTTTAGCGTTGCATTCAAGCAGTATATGGTATCACACGCATTTATGGCAAAGTCCATTCATCAAATCACATACAAGATTTTGGTTCTTCGAGCGAAGATCACCGTTTGTGGGAAGCTGCAAGTTCAGATCGCCTTCGTCTGAGAGCCCATAGCAACAGGTTGCCAAACAGCAGGGATCCGCATACCACAAAACTAGAGCTGCCTTTACCTAAATTACAGACGCCGGATAAAAACCCCGAACTTTTGGGTGAAATTGAGATGTTTTGTCTGAATTTTTTATAATACAAGCAAAGACATCGCTGTCATTTTTAATCTTCAATTTAAACAGCTTGTTGTCGATTTATTTAACGACTAGCTGTTACCTGCGTGTTCGTACGCTTTAAATTGTTGCTAACGTAATATATTGTTTTTGAGTACCGCTGTAACTGAATTGCAATAATAAATTAACAGTCAACTTGCATGCGGGGGTAAAAACGTGGGGCGGAAAGCTAACAAATTGATAATATTAACAATTTTATGAAATAAGCATTTTAAAATAAACTGATCTTTAAATTGTAAAAGCTACATCACTGTCAAATTTCCGGTTACACAAGCCATTCTTATTTTAAGTCTATTCTAAATAGAGTCCAGAAACAAATATAACGAAGCGGTTCGCAATGCCAAAAACCAGCATGATATAAATGTTAGGCACAGGGTAATGTCGCAGCGCAATGGCAGTCGGTCTTTCTGGACGCTGGCTAAGCAGATTGAAAAGAACTTCTCACACAGTAGCCTTCCACCACTTACGTGTCAGGATGGAACTATTGTATTCGACTCAAAGGCCAAGGCGGAAGTGCTAGCCAAGATCTTTGCTGCCAACTCCACCATGAACGTCCCCACCAACGCCCAAGTGCCGCCAATTCAAAGGGTTCCCCACACTATGCGGGAGGTAACATTTAGGCATAAGACCGTAAGACGAGTGCTCTTGTCGCTCGACATCAACAAAGCTTCTGGTCCGGACTTGATTCCTGCCATTGTACTGAAGAGATGTGCAGCGGAGCTTGCTCCAGTTCTTTCGCGTCTCTTCCAGATATCTTATGAATCCGGCACCTTCCCAGAAAACTGGAAATTTGCTCATGTACAGCCCATCCCAAAAAAAGGATCTAAAACCGACCCTTACAACTACAGGCCTATAGCTCTGCTTTCTGTTGTAAGTAAAGTGATGGAGAGGTGCATAAATCGCGAGCTTCTGGACTACCTCGAACGTCACAGCTTGATTAGCGACAGGCAGTACGGTTTCCGGCACCAACGATCCACAGGGGACCTCCTAGCTTACGTCACGCAACTGTGGAGTAAACTCATCCAGTCTCATGGTGAGGCTCATGTCGTTGCTCTTGACATCACGAAAGCGTTCGATCAGCTGTGGCACGCTGCCCTCTTAAACCTTAAACTTCCATCCTACGGCCTCTCAGAAAAGCTTTGCAGATGGGTGGCTGACTTTATCTCTGGCCGCAAGATATCCGTCGTAATTGACGGATTCTCCTCTTCATCCCACAACGTCAACGCGGGTGTTCCCCAGGGATCGGTCTTGGCTCCAACACTGTTTCTCTTACATATCAACGACCTCCTTTCCTGCACGATCAACCCAATCCACAGCTTCGCTGATGGCAGCACTCTACATGCAGGAATTCAGAGTGACAAGCCGATCTCTGCCGCTGAGCTGGAAAAAAGAAGACTAGCGACGACTTCTTCTCTGACAAGAGACCTGGAGGCTATCACTGCTTGGGGACGCAACAATCTTGTACAGTTCAATGCTTCCAAAACACAGTACTGTACTTTGACGAACAAAAAGCGTCCTAGCGCTCATACAGTTTCGATGGACGGTCGAGTTCTACCAAAGAGCCATTCATTTCGGCTGGTCGGAGTCCAGATCACCGAGGACCTGATCTGGCACGAACACATCTCTTCAATAGCTGCAGCTGCTGGGAAAAAGCTAGGCTATTTGTTTAGGGCTAAGAAGTACTTTTCTCCGCATGACCTTCTCACTCTATACAAGGCCCAGATAAGGCCTAGCCTCGAGTATTGCTCACACATTTGGGGTGCTGCCGCCTTGACTACATTGTCCATGCTCGATGCTGTCCAGAGGAGGGCGGTCCGACTGATCGATGACTCTTCTCTAACAGACAGTCTCGGGTCTCTTTCGCACCGGCGGGCCGTCGGCGATCTAGCTCTTTTCTATCGCTACACCAACGGGCTTTGCTCCTCAGAGCTCTCTTCCATGATGCCGCCGCGCGATGTGCCCGCCAGACAGACCCGCCTGACTTCGGTGTCCCATCTTAACCGTGTCAAACTTCGTACATTCAGAACTGGCCGATACGACCGCTCCTTTGTCCCGAGGGTGTCTAGATTGTGGAACAATCTACGGGAGGAAGCTTTTCCCAGTTCTACTAACCTTAGGCAGTTCAAAAATCGTATTAACAAAATTTCTTTGGGATCATCATAGCAGCCGCGGTGTTCCGGCACTTAGGCTTCTGCCTGCGCGGCTGTTTCGATATAAAAAAAAAAAAATAGAACTAAAAAAATTTTTATCCTTCCCATGTCTACTAGCGAGGAAGTATTGTCATTTTTTTGGATATCATATATGACATGTACATCAGGAAAAACCGTGTCACTCATTTCTGTCGGTCGGTCTGCCTGTCCGCTATTTCTTGGCCCGTCTATGACTTGGAATGTGCCGCTTGGATTTGGATGAAATTTTCTCACAAGCTTACTACTATACCAAGGACGAAAAAGCTATGTAGATTTCGAATATCGGAAAAGAAGAAATCACTCAAATGTCGGTTTCGACGTTTCAGAGGCTCTTGATCATTTTCGGAAAAAAGTTTGAAGGGGTTAAAAATTGTAGGTGGTGGAGGAGGGTATATCTCAATTTTTTTACATTGGTATATTTATACGTGTCGATCCTGGTATTTCTACGCACCTTCTAGGCTGGCATTACACTATAAAAGTTCGTTGACGAAGATCTTTTATAAATTGCTTTTACAAAATTTATACATAGAAATGTTATGGTTGCCAAACAGCCTATTACACTACGTAAAAGATTTTATGAGCTAATTTAAGAAGATGGTGCAAATACAGCCATGGACGATGACGTCCAGGTTGCTGCCATAGCTAGTTTTACTTCGGCAGCCATTGTAGTGGCTTTAACAATTAAAAAGAAGCGACTGTGGGTAAAACCGTGGATCACCTGCCGTGAGTTGAAGACGATCTACAATAACTTTGTCCAAGATCGGGCAGTGGAAGATCAGAGATGTTATGTTAAATTTTTGAGAATGGATGAGGATGACACATTTACGAAACCCCGTCAGCACTGAGGAGCGGCTCATGGTGACAATGCGATCTCTAGCCACCGGAGAGAGCTACACTAGCCTCCAGTACGCCAGATACCATCTGTTTTTCCTCATCTTAGCACAACTATGCAAAATCTTTTATGAAATATAGGATGAAGAAGCTAAATATGATAAAATAACTTTTATAAAGTATCCTTTTATAATAGTTGGCCTATTACACTGTCGCATTTCCTTTTCAACTTCTTTTATCAAATATCTTTGAGTGTAACAGGCCAACTTTTATAAAAGGAAACTATTCTGAAGGTTCTTTTGTCACATTTAGTCTAGTCATCCTATATTTGATAAAAGATTTTGCGTAGTTGTGCCAAGATGGGGGGGAAAACAAATGGTGTGTGGCGCCTGGAGGCTCTCCGGTGGCTAGAAATCGCAATGTCACCATGAGCCGCTCCTCAGTACTGATGGGGTTTCGTAAATGTGTCATCCTCATCCATTCTCAAAAATTTAACATAACTTCTCTGATCCTCCACTGCCAGTTCTTGGCCAAATTATTGTAGATCCTCTTCAACTCACGGCGCGCGATCCGCGGTTTTACCCACAGTCGCCGAAGTAAAACGAGCTATTGCACTACCTTCTTAAAATAGTTTACAAAATCTATTACGTTGTGTAATACGCAGTTTGGCAACCATAACATTTCTTTTATGTATAACTTTTGTAAAAGTGTATAGAACATTTTGAAGAGGGGGGTAGCATATTTTCTCAAAAGTTCCAACTCCTAAAAAGCTACAAAATTGTACACAGAAGCCTGCATGATAAATATGCAAAATTTAATTGTATGAGCCTGTATGACTGACTTGATCCATTTGATTTTTGTTATACATGTTCAGCTAATTGTTTTATCAGAACTTCTCCAGAACATAATCCTTTGTGAACTGACTGACAGCGTTGCGTGGGAAATACAGAGTCAACTTAATTGACGCAATTACTCACACTTTGAGCAACAGTACATAACATAGTTCGGAAACTGTTCATGTTATCCAAAGTCGCATTCCGTCAGCCCCAGTATAGGTTGTTTTCTTTTCAGGTATTTATCGCGGGCCCCAGTGATGACCGGAATACTCAACTGCTATTGGACGAGATCCGAACTCGGTATCTTCCAGGCAGATTATTGGCTTTAGCTGACGGCAGTGGCGGTGGATTGTTGTATAGGCGACATGGAAATGCATTGGCTAGGCTCAGGCCGATACATGGGAAACCAGCTGCTTACGTTTGCAGGAATTTTGCTTGCAGGTAATTTAACCATCAAAACAAAATCACAAAACTACTTTTCTGTGCGTTTGAAAGCAACAACTCAAGTGGTTTGAAAAATGCGACTCCATTAAAACGATTTTGCCAAATGTTTTTGCAAATTAATAGGCCTGGCAGCAAGACAGAAAAAATACCGTATGTGCTAAATGAGGAAAAAATTCATTCTACTTTTAAATTCGGCGCCACTAGTACTGTGGCTGTCACATATTATTTCATAAATTCCCAGTGAATATACAAACAGAAAAAATGAAATATGAGATGAAGTTAATGGCGTCAGCATATTTAAAGGATTCCGCCGCGCTGCGAATGCTTATCATTATTTCAAATTATTGATTCGAAAAATAAACTGGGTACGCCAGCACCATTTCAGTCACACGCAAATAAATGCAACTTCATTTAATAAAAGCGAAGCCAAGAGAAGAGAAGCTAATCTTTCGGCTAAGTTTCTTTTCGAATCATGAAATCAATTTTCCACGTGCACAATAAAAAATTTCGCCCTGTTCAGACTCGGCTTTCAAAAATACACTCCACACACACCTTCTTTCATTTGTTCTCTCAAAAATTCATTTGATCCAGTTGTTTTTATAACTCAAAGGCCCCAAGATGGAGCAGTAACATACAGGGTGTCCCAGAAGACGACGTCAAACCAGAAACTGGGGATAGGTAATAAGACGAGGGTGAATCAAATATAAACGGTAATTTTGCGATTCTCCTTAGAATTCTGTTCCTAGCTACATTATGTATGATTGAGCAAGAAGTACCTTCATCTGTTGCACAACGGATAATAATAAAGTTTTCAACCAATGAAGTCGTTGAACTGTCGGAAATTTTAACTAGTTTGCGGGCGCAGTTAGGAAACAGTACACTGTCCCAGAATCGAGTGTTTACGTGGGCAAGAGAATTTAAGGGCGGACGAGAACGGGTTGGAAACGAAACACATAATCGACGTCCAAGGACAAGCCTTACAGGTGACAACATTCGTGCTGTTCGAGTGCTTATTGAACGTGATTGTCGGGTAACCATGGAAGAAATTTCATCAGAATTGGGTCAGCTATGGAAGTGTTCAATCCATAATCACCGATCAACTCGATTTCAGAAAAATTAGTGCTCGATGGGTTCCAAAGTTGTTGACTGAAAACCAAAAACAGGTCAGGTCGGAGGTCGTTGGAAAGCTCCTGGATTGATCTCAGCGAGAAGGGGGACTTTCTAAGGCGTATCGTAACATGCGATGAGACATGGGTACACCACTTTACTCCTACATCGGAACTGGCAAGATATCTCTCTCTGCTGAAAAGTCTTTGCAACCATTTTTTTTTGACGCCAAGGGAATTTTGCTGATCGATTTGCTACACGATCAACGTACGGTAAATGCAGCTCAGAATCTCCTCGATGACAACGGCAGGTCTCATACCGCGGCTTGGACAAGGGATACACTGGGAAAAATGTACTGGGGAACTCTCCGTATAACTCCATCTTATCCGCATGTGACTATTTTTTGTTCGCGCCTCTGAAGAAAAACTTTCTATGAACACGGAACACTGAAGCTTCCAAAGAGGTTGCAAAAGTACGTAGGCGTCGCAAGAGACTATATTGAAAAATGTTATAACAATAACAAGGGCATATTATTGTTCAATAATTGTACAAAAAAAATTACCGTTTATATTTGATTTACCCTCGTAGTTATCAGAGAAATAAAAACGTATCAGTCGTATAGTTTTCCAATTATAGGTATGCTTTAAAAATCTACAACCTGTGATGATCTTTTAGTTCCCTTTACTACAAATTTCAAAAATTTTCATAGACGGAGAGTGTCATTCTATATAGTGACAGCAAGACAGATAGTAACGCCACTTTTATTAATTTGTGAATGTATTTATTAAATTCACAATAAATGTTGAAACTGCCTTTCTTTAGCAGCAACGCAGGCTTGACATCTTCTTAAAAATGGGGTTATGAGACTGGCGAATCTTTCATCGCTGCCCAGTAAAAGAAATCGAGTGGACTTAAGTCAGGTGAAATTGTACCAGACCGCCCTATCCATCTGCCAAGATATTCTTTAATTGAACGGGCATAGCGCGCCAGGCAGCCGACTTGCTGGTACCACATGTATCTGTAAATGCTTAGTGGTACGTCGCCCAATAAATTTGGTAAATGATTTTGTAATAAGTCTGAATAAATTTCGCCATTCAAGAACTGTAGCAGCGCAATGACTACAGTGATTCGCCAATTGAGAATCCTGGTGTACTTGTTTACTTTAAAACGATACTGTGATCTATCCTGTCTCATCAAATGTAGATTTTCTACATGCCACTCGTATAAGTTGTGTAGATTCATGTAAACATCTTTTTTAAATACCGACTCATCAGCCGACTGAGACTTTTTTATATTTGTCTGATAACTACTCGCATTATGTCTTGGCCTATCCCCCGTTTCCGGATTGAGGTCGACTTCTGGAACACCCCGTATACATATACGTTTTATTTATTTTTTTGCAGATTACCTGTTACAGAGCCAAAGGAACTAGGAGCCTCATTGGATGAAGGAAATGGTTTGGACAAATCGGCTGAGGAGGATCCTGGCTGTAGTAAATGATGGTGGAGATTGGTCTTATAACGTGTAACAGTATTGGTCTCCGTGAGATTCGCTCTTGTTATGGTTAACTATTGTTGAAAATACTATGCCTTATCTTAACTTTCTATGACAGTAAGACGTTAAAATCTCTAGGGTATATTTAATGGTAGCTTGTAATATACCTAGTATTTAGAAAATAAATAACTAAGTAATTAGTTGATTTACATATAACATGCGGCTCCGTTTATTTCTTAATCAAGATGGATATTTTTATCGATCAAAAATGCATCATTATATACCATTTAGGACGTTTTACAACTGGTCGTTTTTGCCGACGAAAACGTTTACCGCTTTTAAGCATGCGGACATCTAAATAATTAATATAGCAAGTCCATACTGTTAAACTTGCTAACAACTTTGCATTTGGTCGCTTTTCCAACTGTCCAGTTTTGAAATTACCATACCTGTATTTATCTCTAGTACAGCCGTCGTTACTTCCTTCAATGCAGCATCATTTTTACTTTTATATATTACCCGTAAATTTCAACAAAATAGATTTTCCGTTTTATTAAGAAAGCCGTAAAAGTTTCTGTGTCTCTGTCACGCGAACCACGAAAAGCCGTTAGTTCATGTCGCAGTCGTCGTTAAATTTTTATTCGGCCGAAATTTAGTGAACCTATAAATCCTTTCTTGGGCAACTGGAAAACCCTCATTTCCACCTCAACTGAATCAAATGAGAAGCCGAGCACAATTCTTTTCTCGTAATGGTAATACCGCACTTTGTGATACAAATTCTGAATGTAAGACTTTCTATGTGAAAAAAACAATGATATTTTCCTATTATATATCTAATAACATACCCGCTGTTCGTTGCTGTTAGGTTACCAATGAAACATTTCACATCTTTTGGACAAACAACATCGTTCTATTATGATTCATAAGGTCATAATGTTGAATGATTCGTAAGTTGAAGTATTTTGATTTGTCCACACTGGTGAGCCAGCATCTTTTATTACATTATTATATGTATATCTAGATCTTAAGAGGATTGTGATACTTTTGTTTGTGAGTGATAATATTGAGATACAATTATTGTAAATTCTGTACGTATATGATTTCAATATTTAATAAAAGTTACTGCTAAAGTATTCCTTATTTCATTCTGCTTCCATTAGTCTGGAACCTTTTCAGTAATATTCCCGGAAGCATGAGCGCCCATATAGCAAAATCCAGGGGGAATGTTTGTGTTACAGGTTGTGCAGGATAAAAATGCTGAGAACTAGCTAACCCGGAGGTATTGCCACACCTTTTTTATAAACAAGGGGAAATGGTTGTGTGATTCTTCACTCTTTTTTTGATTAATTAATAAATTAATAAAACACGATACACGAAATCTAAGGGTCAGTCAATGCGAAACAGCTGTCTAGTGGCGTGCAAATTTAGGCCGTATCTCAATAAAGCGGAGAGAAGATGAAGTTAGTAGTAGTAGTAGAAAGATTTATTTAGCACATTTGGCTACATAAACAGAACAATTGTAAACAACTTAGAACTAGTAAATTCAAGCCATATGGTGTATGATGTAAATGCTGGGCAACCTATAATTGTAGATTTAACAAGTGATTTCTCAATTTTACTTTAAATTTTGTCAAAGTTTTCTGGTCTTTTATCTCCGAGTATAATTTATTATATTCAATCAACCCTTGATGGAATACAGATTTGTAGCATATGTTATACTTTTTGGTCATTAAATGGAAGTCATCTTTATTTCTGGTATTATGTAAATGATGGTCGACATTTGATGATGTTAAATTAGTTAGACTTGATGGAAATATATAATTTTTTACTTTATAAATGAATATCATTACAAGATATTTGATAAAATTTTTTACATTGAGCCATTTTAATTTGCTAAGCATTTGCCTAATTGGAGTATATTTATCTTTATTTAGTATTATTCTCATGCACTTATTTTGTAAAATTTGCAGTCTTTCAAAAATGGAATTATTTGCTAAATATAGAATAGTCGAACAGTACAAGAAATTTGGAAGAATGATGGTATTATAGATAATTTTTCTGCTATATGAACTCAGACATCCAGAAACTCTCGATAAATATCCCACTTTACTACTAATCTTATTTATAACTTTTTCATAATGAATATCAAAAATTAATCGAGAGTCAACAAAAACTCCCAGGTATTTAAAATTTTCTACGAATTCAATATCTTCACCATCAATATTCAGTTGAACATTTGTACATTGTTTTTTTCCGATTTCGTTTTACTTGCATTTAATTTTAGTCTGTTAGATGCTAACCATTTTGAGACAAGCTTCAAGTCTTCATTTATATAAAAGATACCAGACTGAATATTTTTAGTACTTATATAAATCATAGTGACATCGGCGAAAATTTGAATTTTGCATTTTTTGACTATGGCAGGTAAATCATTTATGTATAAAATAAGAGCGCCAGTAACTTAAGTCGGATTAAGAAACAAATCCCCGAGATGTAAATTGGAACTTGTTTTGCTTGACTACCACACAAAGGAAAAGAACCTAACAGCAGTGACGAAACCTAATTAATTGCACATAGAGAGCCAAATGAAATAAGATATTAAAAAAATAATCACAACATATTAATTAAATGATCAAACACATATGCTCCACCACTGGGGTGCTGGTTAATAAAAGGATAGGAAATGAAATTATTAGATCGTGATAATCAACCCCGCGAAACGTTTACCATGGTACACGTACGAGTACGAAGGCCTAACAGATATTTTAGCGCCCAAACTTAAACTTATCTGAATAGTCTTTTTCCAGTTACGGCTCTAGACGCAGCCGAGATGTTCAGTTACGGCTCTAGGCGCAGCCGAGATATCCTCGACTAACGATCAGGTCAAAAACCAGCGCTTAACACCTGAACTGAACTGAAAAATACCTTTACATTTTTTACAAGAAAATTAAAGCAAAAGCAAACATGCACTAAAGTCATATATCCTCAGTAAAGTTATCCCTTGTTCTAAAGAAGAAATAATAGCAGCTCAAAAATCAAAATCATGAACAATCTATGGAGTAAACTCAAAAGAAGGTGCCATGTAGGCACTGTCCCATATTTGAATACGTAAAATGCCAAACAAAATCAATATATATATATACAGGGTGACTTCGAAGTTGAGTCATTTATTTTAACAGTGAGTAGATCTGATCAAAAGAAATGTTTTTTTCCTTTAACATTTTTGTGGTAAAATTAAAGTAACAAAGTTATAGCCCTTGAGAAGTTTGAGTACCGCCCTCTCTCAATAATAATATTATGTGTTCGTGCCTGGCAACAACGGATATAATCCGCCTTATCGGTTCATCCCATCGGAAACAAAAAAGCGAAAGAATTTGAAACGCTGATCACGATGTTTTTATTCAGTCGATGTGTCAGTCGGTAACGCGTGAGTGAATAGTGGTGTTTGCTGCGTGGCTCAAACGAAATAAAAAATGGCACATGTTTATGCGGATCGGTTTCCCAATCGAGTGCAACCAACCCCTCGTGCCTTTGTTAATGTAGTACAACGGGCTCGTGAATCAGGTGACTCAAGACCTCACAGGAGAGGGCATGCCGCTGCTCCAAGACCTCACGATCAAATACAGGTCCGCACTGAAATACTTGTTGGGAGGATACTTTATAAAACAAGGTAAATTTTTTTTATTTTTACACACATATTTTGGTTTATCTTCCTTCTACAATCATTATCTGAAAATTAATGACTCAACGTCAAAGTCACCCTGTATATATATATGAAGTTGAGTCATTAATTTTCAGATAATGATTGTAGAAGGAAGATAAACCAAAATATGTGTAAAAATAAAAAAAAAATTAAAAAAAATGTTACCTTGATTTATAAAGTATCCTGCCGACAAGTATTTCAGTGCGGACCTGTATTTGATCGTGCGGTATTGGAGCACCGGCATGCCCTCCCCTGTGAGGTCTTAAGTCACCTGATTCACGAGCCCTTTGTACTACATTAACAAAGGCACGAGGGGTTTGTTGCACTCGATTGGGAAACCGATCCGCATAAAACCGTGATGCCGCGGCAGCATTTTGTAAAGACTCCCCCCCCGTAAATAAGAATCATGTCCACAAGTTCAGCATTTTCGTAAACATGTGCCATTTTTTATTTCGTTTGAGCCACGCAACAAACACCACTATTCACTCACGCGTTACCGACTGACACATTGACTGAATACAACTGACTAAAATTGTAGTAAAAACATCGTGATAAGCGTTTCAAATTCTTTCGCTTTTTTGTTTCCGATGCGATGAACCGATAAGGCGGATTATATCCGTTGTTGCCAAACACGAGCACATAATATTATTATTGAGACAGGGCGGTACTCAAATTTCTAAAGGGCTATAACTTTGTTACTTTAATTTTACCAGAAAAATGTTAAAGGACAAAAACATTTCTTTTGATCAGAGCTACTCACTGTTAAAATGAATGACTCAACTTCGAAGTCACCCTGTATAAATATCTACTACATATTTAATTAAAATGATATTTTACCTGTTCACATCGGGGTTTTCCTTTCAAGTGGAACGGGTGGCTTCCTGCAAAATCGGCTGCAAAACAGCTACAAGGCAGCTACAAAACAAAGCTGGAGGAGTGTGAATGATGGTTCTCTGCAATGCCTTCCCCACGTGGTTCGATGGTATAAAAGAACTTACCGCTGAAGGTTAAAATCCCATAAAAAATTGAGGGGGTAGCACCCAAACTAAAACAACTAAACGTAAGGTACAAAATAAAAAAGTGCCACTTCATAAACTTGTGTTTGGGGCCTAATATCTCAGAATCTGGGAGTTAAACAAACGACCCACGCACCACAACCTCAATAGAAAAGTGACTGACGCAGAACACCTAACTTTTTAAAAGAACGTTAAGTGAGTGGCCTTGAAAAGATATGTTCGACAGGAAACCAAAAGAAACGAAGAAAAGCCCACAGAGTGTTTTGCTGATTGCCAATGCGCGGACTCTAGAAAACCAACTCTACGAGGGACCAACGATACTTTCTGAGGAGACTTCTGAGATAGTCGTGAATAAAATACTATAACTTTAGTGTCCAAATGATTTCAACACAATACTGAGTCGATAAGAAAGAATGATATAATACGTGTGAAATCATACAATCAATAAACTACGAAATTTGCCAAAAGAAAATCATTAAAATGGAATCGGCACTCTATCTGTAATAAAGAGAAATTCAGTTTACTGGTAAGTGATCAAAATACGTTGGTATGAAAAGGTTGAAAGAAGGTTGTGGGAGGACATCTTATAATAGTAAAATAATAGCTAAGTGTTGTTTTATCATTGTTATAAAGTACTCGTGGAAATGAACCGATAATCTGCACCCATTTATCTACTTGGCAACGGTTCCCAAACAAAAGATATGGAAAATGGATCACAGTCGATTTGTCTAAGAATTCAGTATGATAAATTTCTCACCTTGCTGAATAAAAGTTCTCGTGAGACCAAAGCAATCCTATTTGAGAAATAAGTGGATGAATTTTGCCGATTTACCAAAGTGGTGAATGTGCACATGAAATCAATTTTTAAATTCCTCGAGAAAACCATTCAAATGTACCTAATCTAGGAGAACTTTATAAAATAGCTGATCCTCTTATTAATTGTTATTTATGGATTTTGTGCGAGGTGGTAATGCTGCATTAGTGCTTTAGCTGTAATACCTGATGATTATGCAGTACCTACTGGGCTTTATTATTGCAGATGTAAATATGATGCCAAATCCCAGGCACATGTGGTTTTTTATATACTCCTCACGATACTAGAGTTATCGTTCGAAAAAGTGGACCCAACCGTTCTGTATGACAAACGAATTCAGTGTAGGTAGAAGGAGAGGAGTCAATAATTTGTTTGTCTCCTAACTCAATTACGTAGTCAAGTGCACTTGACATATATGCTTATTTTTTGACGAACGGGATCTGACCAATTGTAATTTAATTTAGTGTTCATTTTTTTGTTGCATAATTAGTAAAAAAATATAAAAAGAAATATTTTCCAAAATAGAATTTTCCCCATATTTCTTGTGTGGTCTAGGGATATGAAATTATGGGGGCTTTGTTTAAAAAGTGCACAAAAGTC